AAAAAAAATTCAATAGCATGGAAATGTTAGTTTGACAATTTCAAATACTACAATATATAGGTCAATTACAAAATACTTATAACTTACATATTGCAAGAACCATTTTGGAAATAATTCACGGTGTTTCTTGGAATACAAATGTGATGGATGTTCTCGCTTCATCATCTCTTCATGCTCATCTAAGTATGCCATTATCTCATCACAATTGTTCAATACGAACCAATGAGCTACCTCCATATCTTTCCTGGAAAATGACTCCCCTTGTACAAGATCTCCAAAGGGTCGTGCGCTTTGAGAAAAAACAGAAAGTTGCTCATTTCTCACACCTCCGTCATTATTGCGCTGAGGTCGATTGAAAGCCGTGTCCACATCTTTTAAATACATTCCACAGAAAGTCAGCGCCTCATATTGAACCCAAGCCTCTACAATTGATCCTTCGGGCTTCGCTCTGTTGCGTACGCTTCTTTTCAGCTCTCCGAGAAGCCTGCCAAAATATAATGAAAAGGTTTCAAATACTTCAGTATCAAGAATACGAACCAATGATGCATACAGAAATGATGCCAAGTTATATACCTTTCTATAGGATACATCCAGCGATAGTTGACTGGACCCCCAAGCAATGCCTCTTCTGGCAAGTGAACCATCACGTGGATCATACTTGTGAAGAAAGCCGGAGGGAATATCATCTCAAACTTGCATATGGGATCTCGTTCAACTGTGCTGGAGCAGTGACAGCTGACGTCGCAATCGGGGGAGGCAAACTATGAGGACTCGTCACCGTCTTACGACGTCTGATAAGGTTCGACATCTGCACAACTGATAAGGTCTTAAAATTAAAACATCCTTGCCTTAAAATGTTTGTTTATTTTTTAAAAAAACAACCTTAACAACTAATCAACAGAAAATTCAATATTTAGCATACAAATACACAGAAACATGTATTCTTATAAAAAAATTAATAATAAACAGATGCACATTGTTTTAAAGCAAACAAAACAAAAACAGATATATATTAAAAATAACATATGCACATTGTTTGCAAACAAAACAAAAACATATATATATAAATAAATAAAAAACAGAAACAAATATTCATCTCAACAAAATGAACATCTAATTTGGTTAGTTGCACATATATTAAATCTGAAAAGCAATCCAAATACAAAAAACAGAAAATTACGAAAAGCAATCAAAATACAAAAAACAGAAAACATAAAATTGTGCTCCAATCAAATTTAAAATCTGAAACCAAACCAAATACAAAATCACAAATCCAACACTATTTCAACATTTCCAATAAAATCTGAAATCACAAATGCAAATCCAATACAAAAAGGAAATTGAAACGGAGCAATCCTAACCAACCACCAGACTAAGTAATGTAAACACTTACAAAATAAATATACAAATTCAAACAGCAGATTTCAAAAATTTAATCCTAACATATATTTTAATCCACAACTTTCAGGAAAAAAAAAATCCAAAAACTTGTAATTATAAATCGGGGCTAGAGTCGGGACTTTTACCGTATGGGTTTCGACGGTGGAGAGCGAGAGAGAAATCGAAGGGCCATCGTCTGATGGAGGAGCGAGTGACTGAGAGCGGACGGAGGAGACAGGGACAGAGAGGGATGAGTGGGGATGGAGGATAGAGGGACTGAGAGGGATGAGTGGAGACAGAGGAGAGAGGGATGAGTGGGGACGGAGGAGAGAGCGGCTGAGAAGGATGAGGGGCGGGGGCTGAGAGCTTGCGATAGAGACTGGGTGAGAGATTTGGGGGTGCGAAGGAGAGAGACCGGGTGAGAGATCAATGGGTTCGAAGGAGAGAGAGATAGAGGGGCTGAGAGGTTGAACGCGAGAGAGAGACTGGTTGAGAGATTTGAGGGTTCGACGGATTTTAGGGTTCGAGGAGAGAGAGACAGAGGGGCTGAGAGAGGTTGAAGACGAACAGAAATGCGCGTTTTTTTTCATAAAAGCTTCGCCGACTTGCGCGACGAAATATGTAAAATGTCGCGCAAAGATAAATATCGCACTTTGCACGACGGATAAAATAACCTGTCGCGCAAAGAATTATTAATTCGCGGGATAAACTCCGCCAAAAATTTGGGCGACTTGCGCGACGACATTTTTTACAACGTCACGCAAAGGTAAACCCTAAACCCTAAACCCTAAACCCTGAAACATGGTCCAGAAACCCTTACTTACATTGCGCGACGGAAATAAGTCTAACCTGTCGCGCAAAGAATTTTTAATTCGCAGGATAAACTCCGCCAAAAATTTGGGCGACTTGCGTGACGACATTTTTTTCAACACGTCGCGCAAAGATAAACCCTAAACTCTAAACCCTAAGCCCAGAAACCCTTACTTACATTGCGCGACGGAAATAACTTCATACGTCGCGCGTAGAACTATTGTGCGACGGAAATAATCTTATTCGTCGCGCAACAAAGCATGGAAATGTTAGTGAGTATATTGTTTTAATGGGGCTACGCATTCTACAATACTAGTTTCACCGATCCAACCGTCAAACTTGTTTGTTTATACTTAGAGATCGTACACGCCAAAAATTGAAAAAAATACACATTCATAGATGATGTTACCGGACCAAAATTTTCAACGGTTATAAACAAAAAATCACGATTTAACGGTTATTTTAACTCCGATTTTGATGATATTTTACGGATGCACTCCTTTACCGTATATAAATACAATTACTGAATTTGATCTCCACTGAAAAATATTTACACTAGTGGATACCACAACATCTTATATTATATTTAACAAAAGTACATCAACAACTCTTAATGTTTGTGAATATATAGTAATTGGCTACATACGCATTCTACATAACT